TCAATTGGATGGAGGTACGTCAATTAGCAGACACACACAGCTGCCTGTGGGGCAGTTCCCAGGGTTCACTGTATGAAAGTGAAGGGAAGGGCTGACCAAGTCCAGCAGTCCGGGCTGAGGCTGAGCCAGCTCAGGAAGCTGCTAAAACCCGACGCCCCGAAAGCAGCCCCCGACTTTTACACACTTCCCTGAGCACGCGCCATCCCTGTGCAGCCTGTTCTGGAACAGAACATAATTTTACGTGCCCCTGAAATGATGCATGTGTGCGTCTGAGTCCCCGAGCAGCCGGCTTCTCATGTCCTGCTGAAGGCAGGGCCTGTTTGTAGCTGCCCCGTTAAGCCATTCTGGCCCCAGACCAGCCCTTCCTTTTCTGGGCCTCCCGCCAGTGGGAGATGCACCATTCAGCCCCCTGAACTGTGCAGCACCCATTCCCTGGGCGGCCCGCCATCCCCTCTCCCTCGCCCGAGCTTGGTCCTGCTGCGCGTGCCGATGAGCAGGGCTTTCAGCCCCAGTGCTGTCTGCAGCCGGGATCCATGTGAAAGAGCCCATAGAAAACCCAGGTGGTGCTCCTTGAAACCACAGGAGACCACAAAGGGCACGCTAGGAGGAGGCTGGAGGCCGTGTTGTTCAGGGTACCTGGCATGGGGGACCGACATTTCTGCCTGCAGTTTTTAATGCACATTTCTTTAATTACAAGCACTGGAAAGGCATTTTTCACAGAATGATTTTCCTGTGTGAACATTTCCTTCTGCAGCAGTTATAATCATTAGGCTTATAAGGAGGTGCTAATGAAAACAAGAGGCAACTACCAAGTCACATAAAAAATCATCTTACAAAAGGTCAGTCAGATCTTTGGTCTGACTTTAAACCAGATGAGATTTTACACGTGGAGTACACCTGCAATAAAAATTCCCCTTTGCACACGTGGTGGGAACACTGCTACGTGTGACTCACACTTGTTTCCTTCGCCAACTGCATAATGAAGTTTGCACCTGTTGCTTCTCTTGAATTGATTCAACTCAACAAGCCTGTTCTCGACCCTCAATTCGTATTTAAGACACCCCAGCATAACAGTTCCTCCTCCTCTGCAGACAAAAGGCTTCCTCTCTGACAAGGGAGTGTGATTAGTGAATGCTTTTATTTCATGTGTCTGACAACTTAATTTCAATACATACGGTACTAAGATGGCCAACCCCCAATACAGCCAAATTACTTACATTGGGCATAATCTGTGAACATTTATGGCACATGGAACTAATACTAATATGGTGTTAGTATTTTAACCCTTCTGAATCTCCCCTTCCCCCATGTCCCTTCCTATAGCCACACTCGGGGTGGAGCAAGGCAGGCACTGCAGCAGGTGGTGGGGGGTGTCCGCCTGGCCCAGGCAGGGGGGAGGAGGCCGCACGTGCAGGAGCTGGGGGGCCCTGGCGGAGTGAAAAGCGTCTCCTCGGGCAGAGCATCCGACCACAGAGGACTGGAGCCAGCGAGGAGGGGCGGCATCGGCCAAAGGTGGGCTGCAGGGACGGGGCTGCAGGGTGGCCTTTCCAGTCCCTCCACTGTGGACCCACCATTCTTCCCTCTGTAACTGGGCATCTTGTGGAGGGCACTCCAAGCCTACACCAGCATCGTGCCTCTCATCACTGTCACCACAGATTTAGCACCCACTGATGGTTCTTGCTATGTTTATGTCAAATGGTGAAGACGAAAACTTTTTTGAAAACTAAAATTTGACAACCCCAGAGACCTGTGTGCAGCATTGCAAACTACAGCCTGAAGGCCAGACACAGCCTGTCGCCTGTTGTAGTAAATCCAGGTTTTGTGGAACGGGAGCCGGCCCTTCGTTTCTGCACTGTCTGCAGCTGGTCTCATCTCCATGGCTCAGCTGAGTAGCTGCAACAGAACCCACGTGTCCCACAGAGCCACAGCTCCTACTGGGCCTTTTACAGAAAAAGTCTGCCAACTCCTGCCTTGGAGAAAGGATTACGTTCATGAAACAGGTACAGAATGTCTTATATGGAACTAGAAAAAGAACTCTTATATAGACCTGGTTCATCAAAATAAAAAAAATAAAATATAAGAGTTCAAAAAGAAAACTGAGGCACTACTACAGAAAGCAGTACAAAGGACTAAGAGATGGAAGGTGGAAAAGATAAGAGACTTCAGAGGATCAATCCAGAAAAATTAAAAACAAAAACAAAAATAGAACAGAAACTCTTGTACACAAAGTCTTAGACTAAAATGACCCATAATGAATGCTAAAAACCTACTCTCGAGGCACATATTTTGAAATGTCAAAATACCAAGAGTAAATTCCAAAAGCTTCCAAAGAGAAAAAGGTCAGATCATATGCAAAGGAAGATCAACCCAAGTGGCATTACATACACCAACGACAACCACAGACAAATGCTCACGAAAAGTGTTTTCAAAGCTCTAAGAAAAAATATTCTTCATCCTACAGTTGGTAGCCAATTAAATTATCGGACATTTTCAGAAATTCATGGATTCCAAATGCACCTTCAACAGCTACAGGGGGATGCATGCTACTGAAGAAAGGGTCTACAGCAGATCCTCAAATAACAAGGGTTTGAACTGCACGGGTCCACTTAACACTCAAGTTTCTTTCAATAGTAAAACTACTACACCACACTGAGGTTGGTTGAATCAACAGAGACTGAGGGCCCTAGGATACCAAGGACCAACTTTAAGTTATACTCGGATGGATTTTCAACTACATCAAGGGTCAACTCGAGCATTGTTCAAAGGTCAACTGTAACTCTAGAATGAAGATGATCCACAAGATTCACACAGGGAATGTCCCAGGATGACAGCTGTCCAGCAGGGTTAAAGAGAAGATTAAAACAAATAGAGGCAGAATTTCAAGAATGAAATAGTTTGGGGGAAGAAGTAGTTCAATTCAGAGATTATTTGATATGTTTAAGCATTGGGGGGGGGACAATGAAAAATCGACCAACATATGAAAATCTGGACCTATCTTTAAGGAAAAATCTAAGTGCACTGAAAACCAATGCAGTTTAAAAAAGAAGGCAATTATTAATCCAAGAAAAATATAAAGTTATAAAAGAGAGAAGCATCACTGGGAACAAAATTAGTCATAGTAACAAACGACAACAACGTATTTTAAATTGCAGTGATTATTTGGTGTGTTTCAAGAGGAGCAGTGTAAAAAAGCTGTATTTTATCTTCTGTGAATCACTACGTGCTAAAATCAACGAATCCAGAAACACCTACAGAAGAGTATTTAAAAACATGGATACAAATATAAGAAACTGCTTTACAAAGCTGAATATTCTCTCAACCAGTGAAAGGGCCAGCGGGGGCGGGGGGGAGGCTTGCAGCATCGCTGGGTCACGTGTGGTGTGAGCACATGGCTTCGATGAGATCCTTACACACGCTGTGACTGTGAACACCTCGCTTACCCTCCCCAGGCCTGGCCAAAAAACACCCCTTCAGAAGTTAGCCCAGATGGGAAGGGCTCCACATTCATCTATCCCTGCCACACTGGGGCTCACACAGCTGCTGCATTTCCCTTAGAGCGGCTTCCACTGATGCGACAAACAGCTACTGAGGACAGATGATAAGCCTGGCGCCGCATCAGGTGCTGGAGAAAGAGCAGCGAACCAGATAAGGAGGCCCTGCTCCCAGGACCCGCCGTCTGCGACGCAGACCAGTGCTGTGGCCGTGAGCCCCATCTTCGGGATTCCCAGCTGTACACTACCCAGCCTCCCACATCCTCCGAGTATCCTCAACTGTGGACGAGGACGACAGCTCTCACTTCCAGCATTCCCAGGACACCTAACCCAGCGGGCTCAAGGCGTCACTGTGCACCGTTCAGTGGGTATCTGCAATTCGGTCCTGCAGTCCTGCCACCTGCCCCTCCTGACACCTCATCCTCTTCTGTCTTGGCTCACTGCTCAACCCTCTCCACCGCCAGATCTCACCCAGGTGGGGCAGGTGCTCCACATCCCCTCTTTGGTGAGACCACAAAGCAGCATCGCCCTGTGCTCTCAATGCCGGACAGAACTCAAGTTCCTCCCATCCCAGCAGCTGCAGCCCAAGACCAAGGAGGGTGGGACGGGGAGGGCACTTTCAGAGGAAGGATCCCTCTCAGCCTCACGTTTCTTGGGTCAAGAATCTAACGTCTGTCCCAAATCCTGTATCACTGCCTTCCAGTCTTTATTCTATACACACACACCCCTCAAGAGAAAACGGATCAGATAATAAGAGAAGGATGAGAAATTGAGGAAGAGTTTAAACACACATGTTCCCCTGCCGCTGCCCTGGGGGGGAACACACACATTTCAAAAATCACTCTGAGAATAACATTAAGTGAGAGATACAAATAGGATAAAAATTAATCAGCACAATCCAAAACAAAATTTAGAACCAAATTTAGAACCAAATCCCTGAAAAAAATATGCTTAGATCACCTCCATTTGAACCCCAGGTGTCTGCCAATTCCCCTAAAATGTGTTGGTCTGTACTGGCCCCCACTAACACAGAGCTGGGTGTCGTAACCATATCTGCAGCACACTTCGCTCTTCTGAGGAATAACAATTTCTTCTGATGATTTCAGATTCTTCTTTCCTTGTGAGGGAGATCATTTGTTTTACTTTTTTTTTTTTAATACTAATGTGGCTGCTAAAAGCCACAAACGTGGCACTTTCTAATTTTAATGAATACCATGAAGTTCATATCTAAATACATTTTCTTATTTGGGGTCCTAACCGACAAGGAAAAAAAGCCTAGGTGTACAACACACACACACACACACACAGTGATTAAGTAGAATGGCTTGTTTTTTAAGTTGTAAGAGCAGAAGAGAAGTAAGTATCTTTTCTTTTTATTTTATATGAACTTCCATTGTGATGTGCTATTTTCATGTTTTTAAAATTTAACTTAACTTCTAAACATTAACTTAAAAATGACTCAGGAATCATTTTGATGATTTTTCATTTTTCATGTGAAATAAGAGGACATCGAACAGACTATGGCTTTATTTTAACTTCCAATACCAAGAACAAAACTGGTTAGTCCAAAATAAACAAATAACAGTAATTTGCCACCTACTGCTAACATTCAGTATTTTGTCCCAAACCAGCGGTTTATTTTGGCCACGCTCAGGTAGAGCACCAGGCTGACGATAAAGTACTCCTCCGTCTCCTCGATCCACACCAGCTCCACGTGCACTCGTCCTTCTGGGTCCACGTAGTCAACATGGTACGTCTGCCCCAGGAAATGAGGGCCGTCAGGGGGCCCAGAAGAGGTTCTCATACAAACCGGGGAACTGAAACACCAGAAGGGTTTCCCACACTCATCCAAAAGAGTTATGTCCATTACAGAGCAACTCTACAAAATAAGCACAAAGATTTACAAGTGTAAGGAGAAAATGGCCAACTAGACTGATTTAATAAATTGTAGAGCTGAAGTCTCGCCAGGAAGGGTGAACAGGAGTGGCGTGAAAGCGGGAACAGCATATGCAAACACGTGGAATACTCCACGCGGCTGGGGCGGGGCGGGGCGGGGCAAGACTGAGGCTCAGGAGGGCGGAGTCGGGGGTCAGATCAGCTCTGTCCATCACTGGACCCGGCCACCCACATGCAGCGGCCAGTGCCATAAAAGGCAGGTCAGACAAAGGAAGGAGAGCAGGGGGATGGGGCGAAAGCAGGCAGCACAGTGACGGGGCAGCGGTCACCGTCCCACACCAGTGACGAGACAGTGAGAGCCCCAGTGACCAGTCGCAGTGATTCAGAGGAGAGAAGAAATGGAAGAAACACTTATGGGACAAACCGAGCAGAATCTGGTATTGGGGGTGAGGGTGAGGGAGAAGGGGTCTCATGTCCTGTTTCCTCTCCCACAACAAAAGTGCAGGATCTAAAACACCAAGTGAACAGACACCACTCCATGGAGACACGGGCTGGGGGAGGAGACGGCTGGAGACACTGACAATTATTAATACTATTAATCAGCTATATTTTACATTTATTTTTAACTATGGTAAACACATCAGTTCTCCAGCTGAACTACTGTGAAGTCCAAGCTCAGTGGCATTAAGTCCAGTCACACTGCTGTGAACATCAGCACCGCCCACCTCCAGGGCTCCGACCACCCGGCAAAGCCAGAACCCCGGGCCCGTCAGACAACAGCTGCGCACTTCTCTCCCCCAGCCCCTGGCAACCATATTCTACATTGTGTCTCTAAGAGTTTGATACACTAGGCACCTCGTGTAAACGACTCCCACAGTATTTGTCCTCAAGGCTCATCCATGCTGTGGCCTGTGTCAGAACTCCCTTCCTTTACTGAGGTGAAATAATACTCCAATATCTGAACGCACCACCTGTGCGAATCCATCCATCCACCGATGGACGCCTGGGTGCCTTCTGCCTTTTGGCTACTGCGGATGACGCTGCTGTGACCGTGAGTGTCCAGTGCGAGCTGTATTGTTCAGCATGTGTTAGGTGCCGGACACTGATCCAAGCAGTTTACGTGTACTAATTAATTTACTTCTCAAGAAGCTGTGAGGTAGCAGCAAGGCTGAAATCGTCTAACAGCTTTTCAGGTGTGTCTCGTTTCCCATGACTTCTGCCCTATGCTAGTGTTTTTTTAAGTGGAATTTAAATGCTTACTTCTAGAAATCAGCAGAAACTGAGGATTGATATCTCTGTTATACACATACAGACATGCTGTCAGTATCTCCATACAGACAGAGACAGTGCCGATATCTGTCCAGAGAGACGGGCAGAGAACCCCAGGCATGAGCATCAGCACAGCTGCGGCAGGTCTGCACACATGGAAACGTGGCCATGAGCACTGGCCACATGGGCTTCTGTGTGAGCCATCAAAAAGGGTCTTGACTCAAAAAAATGCATCTCTTGAATTTAAGAGACACAAACATTCCAAAATTGAAAAAACCAAGATGGCTTAACAAGTGACTGGTGTGAACTGGTTCTCACCCCGAGGAGACCCGAGTGAGGAGCCGCCAACAAGAAACACCCGAATCCCGCCGCAGTGTGCAGACCAGCAAGGGCAGCAGGAGCCCCGCAGAGACTGGGCCATGCCCTCTGATGCCTCCCCAGGTCCTGGAACAACGAAGACCAGGCCGATGAGAGCCCGGACCGTTGCCCCTCTGCTCCGGGCGCCCCAGGGACCACAGCCCAGGCGGAGGGGAGGGCCTCCCCAGGGGCAGGCGCCCTGGGGCTGAGCACGGGAATCACAGCCAGCACGGAGCAAGTGGCTGTCAGCACGGCCCTCTGAGGGCGGAAGCTCCATGGCAAAGCCCCAGATTACTGAGCTGGCACGGGGTGCCGCGAAGCCAGGCTCCCTCTAGCTCGTCGCCCTTCATGATCTCAACCACTGGCTTAGCAGTCCCTTGTCTTGCCACTTAAACCTCACCAAAGCCAGCAGCACAGAGCTGGTGTTAGAACCAGGTGCAGGAAGGGCCATGAGAAGAGCAGGCACCACCCAGAGGCCGACACTTCAGGGGCAGGCCAGGGGAGGGCGCCACAGGGAAACCAGGAGAGGGGGACGCCAGGCGAGCAAGCCGCTCACCCCCCAAGCCCCTCAATGACTGACTCTCCTGCCTGAAGCCCTCAGCTTCAGCGCTGGGAGCTGACCTCTCCCAGAGCCGCCTGCATCTAAAAGTCCATGTTCTCTGGTCCCTGCACATCCTACAAAGCGCCGAGCACACAGTGGAAACACAAAACCCTCTAACAGCTTCCAAACGACACTTAAACTGAGATCCAGACTCTGTACCGGGGTGGCCTGCCCAGCGGGAGCCGCCCCGGGCCTTCCCAGCGGCCCTCCCACCAGAGGTCCAGGGTCCAGGCAGCAGGGAGCCAGGTGACATGCGACACCGCATTCAGGCTCTGGCAGGCACAGGCAGATGGAGGGGTCCAGTGGGCACACAACCTCGTGTGCAGTCCTGGGGGGGGGGCACGGGCCTCGGCCACCACCTCCTCCTCCGGGAACCTCGCCCCTCCTTCTGCACCCTGCCTGAGAGCCTCCTCTTCTTTTGGCTCCTTCTCCATAACAAATGGCTTCTGTCCCTCTGGGGGTGGGGGTGGGACGGGGGATGTTTTCAGAACCTCCCTCAAGCCTTCCTCCCACTCACCCTCTATCCTTGTCCTCGAGAGAGCTACTTCCAGTCGTCCGTCCCCAGGTTGGTCTCCCTGGGCTTGACTGCAGGCTGCACACCGCAGCAGTAGGCACAACCCATCTTCCTGGGGGCGGGGAGTCAGCCCTCCTTGCCTGCACCCTCTCACCAGTGACCTTGGCCAGATGCAGAACCCACTGTCTGGGGAGGGCACAGGCCTGGCCCACACAGCAGTGGCATCTTCTCCTGAAGGGTTTGATTTTACAGCCATCACCTTCCTTCAGCTCCACTTGACAGCAATACTCGGCAGCAAGCTGGCCAAAGCATCTTTCTTAAGGGGGTGGGGGACAGCCACCCGCAACCCCTGACCCTGCGATGTGCTCTTAGGGGGTGCTGCCGACCTCAACTCTCCCTGCGCAAAGCAGAGCCAGAGTCACACTGGAGTATCTCGCTTACACTAAAACTGATGCCAAGCTCCATGCAGATTTAGAAGTAACATCAAAATAACACGACAAATGCCAAGTCATGAAAGAAAAAGTGACAGGAATAAGGACAAGAAAAGCCTCACCAAAAGAATCACCATCAGTCGACGGCCTGAGAGGATCGGAGGGCAGGCAGACTGGGAGAGCGTCCGATGCTGACCGCACCGGACACTCAGCAGGGCTGCCAGCCGCTCAGCACGACTTTGCAAGACAGCAGGGGGACCACTTACAGAGCAACTGCCCTGTGTGGAGCCACCGTAAGCATGTCTACATGTATTTTAAAACGTAATCTGGCTTAAGAAACAATGACTTGACTAAAATGTGATTTTTTTAAGTTGAATAATCTACAATATAAAATATGTTTCCTGGAACTTACAACTGC